GATTTATTTATCTTCTATAATTGAAACTTTGTAGCCTTGAGCAGAACCCTGGTCCAGCTGGAAGCCTGAGTTGCCCCTGGCAATCCAGGTTCTCAGCCCCTCCTTGAGTGGAGGCCACAGGTGGCTGAAAGCAGGTATCTGGGATTTATTTATCTTTTATAATTGAAACTTTGTAGCCTTGAGTGAAGCCCAGGGTCGGCCAGGGCAGGCGGGAAGCTTGGATTCCTCCATTGCTGGGGGCAACCAAAGCATCCTGCTTGCTCCAGCTCCGTGGCCACCGCCATCTTAGCTGGGTTAATTTGCATACTTGCTCCTGGTGGGAGTGGCTTAAGCATAGCAGAGGGATGGTTAATTTGCATGTTTCTCTTTTATTATATAGGATGAGTGGGTTACCAAAGAGATCAAAGTAGAAATAAAACACATCCTGGAAACAAACAACAATGAAAACACAACAATCTAAAATCTTTGGGACACAGTGAAAGCAGTCCTGAGAGGGAAATTCATAGTATTACAGGCCTACCTCAAAAAAAACCCCAGAAAAACAAGAAAAACTGGTAATAAACCATCTAACTCTGCAACTAGAAGAATTAGAAAAAGAGCAACAAGAAAAGCCCAGTGTGATCAGAAGGAAGGAAATAATAAAGATCAGAGCAGAAATAAATGACATAGAGACAAAAAAAAATACAAAAAAATCAATGAAACAAGAGCCGGTTCTTAGAAAGGATAAACAAGATTGATGAACCTCTAGCCAGGCTCACCAAGAAGCAAAGAGAGAGGACCCAAATAAACAAAATCAGAAACGAAAGAGGTGAAATAACAACAGAACCCACAGAAATATGAAGAATCATAAAAAAATACTATGCGCAACTCCAACAAACTGGTCAACCTAGAAGAAATGGACATATTTTTAAAACAAATGCGAACTTCCCAAACTCAATCAAGAGGAATAAAAAAAAAAACATCTGAATAGGCCGATAACTATGGAGGAAATTAAAGCAGTAATAAAAAACTTCCAACAAACAAAAGCACTGAACCAGACAGCTTCCCAGGGGAATTTTATCAAACATTCAAAGAAGAAATAACACCTATCTTCCTCAGACTATTCAAAAAAATTCAAGAGGAAGGAGCACTTACAAGCTCTTTCTACAAAGCCAGCATTACCCTAATCCCCAAACCAGATAAAGATAATACAAAGAAAGAGAATTACAGGCCAATATCCCTCATGAACATAGATGCCAAAATCCTCAACAAATTCTAGCAAAATGAATTGAGCAATACAATAGAAAGATCATACACCATGACCAAGTAGGATTTATCCCAGGTATGCAAGGATGGTCCAACATCCGCAAATCAATAAATGTGATACACCACATAAACAAACTGAGAGATAAAAACCACATGGTCATATCAATTGATGCAGAAAAAGCATTTGACAAAATCCAAAAAAACTTTCTTGATAAAAACTCTTTCTTGCCGAAACCGGTTTGGCTCAGTGGATAGACCGTCAGCCTGCAGACTGAAGGGTCCCTGGTTCGATTCCGGTCAAGAGCATGTATGGAGATGTGCAGGAGGCAGCCGATCGATGTTTCTCTCTCACTGATGTTTCTAACTCTCTGTTCCTCTCCCTTCCTCTCTGTAGAAATATCAATAAAAAATATATATATTTTTAAAAAACTCTTTCTTGATATAAAACTCTCAGCAAGGTGGGAATAGAAGGATCATACCTCAACATAATAAAAGCCATATATGACAAACACACAGCCAACATCATACTGAATGGGCAAAAACTAAAACCATTTCCCCTGAGAACAGGAACAAGACAGGGATGCCCACTATCCCCACTCCTCTTCAACTAGTACCGGAAGTACTAGCCATTGCAATCAGACAAGAAGAAGAAATAAAAGGCATCTAAATTGGAAAAAAAAAAAAAGTAAAACTGTCCTATTTACAAATGACATGATATTGTACATAGAAAACCCCAAAGACTCCATCAAAAACTACTAGACTTAATAAATGAATTTCGCATTGTAGCAGGATAAAAATTAACACCCAGAAGTCTATGGCTTTTCTATACACCAATAATGAACTCACAGAAAGAGAAATTAAAAGAGCAATCCCACTTAGCATTGCAACAACAAAAATTGAGATACCTAGGAATAAACTTAACCAAGGAGACAAAGGACCTGTACTCGGAAAACTACAGGACACTGAAAACAGAGATAGAGGAAGACAAAAACAGATGGAAGAACATACCGTGTTCATAGATTGGTAGAATCAACATCATTAAAATGTCCATACTACCCAAAGCAATCTATAAATTCAATGCAATCCCCAATAAAATACCAATGGCATACTTCAGAGTCCTAGAACAAATTGCCAAAAATTCATCTGTAATAAAAAAAGACCCCGAATAGCTGCAGCAATCTTAAGAAAGAAGAACAATTTGGAGGGATCACAATACCAGATATCAAGCTATACTACAAAACCACCGTTCTCAAAACTGCCTGGTACTGGCACAAGAACAGACATATAGACCAGTGGAACAGAACAGAGAACCCAGAGATCGACACAAGCCAGAATGCTCAATTAATATTTGACAAAGGAGGCAAGAGCATACAATGGAGTCAAGACAGTCTCTTCAATAAATGGTGCTGGGAAAACTGGACAGATACTTGCAAAAAAATGAACTAGGCCACCAACTTACACCTTACACAAAAATAAACTCAAAATGGATAAAGAACTTAAATGCAGAGGGGAAACCATAAAAATCTTAGAAGAAGCCATAGGCCACAAAATAGCAGACATTTGCCGTAGCAATATCATTACCGATACAGCTCCTAGGGCAATGGAAACTAAAGAGAAAATAAACAAATAGGACTACATTAAAATAAAAAGCTTCTGCACAGCAAAAGAAACCATCAACAAAACAACAAGAAAGCCCACTGCATGGGAAAACATATTTGCCAATGTCATCTACACTAATAAAAGAGAAAAATGGTAATTGGCGTACGGCGATACCATTTTCATTGGCTAATCAGGGCTATATGCAAATTAACTGCCAACTAAGATTGGCAGTTAACTGCCAACAAGATGGCGGCTAATTTGCATATGTAGGCACAATGCAGGGAGGCGAAAGGGAAAGCAGGAAGAAGCCCCCTGCCACTGACAGTGATCGGAAACCCAGGGGGGAGCTAAGAGCTGGGGGGCAGGACAAAGGCGGCCCTGGGGCCGCCTTTGCCCTGCTCCCCAGCCATGATCAGAGAATCAGGCACCTTTGCCGCCCTGGCCAGTGATAGCAGGAAGTAGGGGTGGAGCCAGCGATGGGAGCTGGGCACGGTCGAAGCTGGCAGTCCCAGGAGCTAGGGGTCCCTTGCCTGGGCCTAAAGCGAAGCCCACGATCGCGGCGCCCCCTTCTGCCACTGCAGGTCCCCGCTGCCTGGGCCGGACGCCTAGGCCAGAGGCATTAGGCCTGGGCAGGGGCAGAGCCTGCAACCGTGGGGAGCTGGGGGTCCCCTGCCCAGGCCTGACACCTCTGCCGGAGGCCTCAGGCCTGGTCAAGGGGCCGATCCGGTGATTGGTGATCAGAGGGTGATGAGGGTCAACTCCTCTGGCTGAGGCATCAGGCCTGGGTGGGGGGCGGAGCCGGGGATTGGGGGGATATCATGGTCCCCTTGCCCAGGCCTGAAGCCTGGGTCAGAGGCGTCAGGCTTGGGCGGGGGGTGGAGCAAGCGATCAGAGGGAGATGGGGGTCCCCTGCCCAGGCATGATTCCTGGGCCAGAGGCCTCAGGCCTGGGCGGGGGCCAGAGCCAGTGATCGGGGGGAGATGGGGGTCCCCTGTCCAAGCCTGACACCTCTGGCGGAGGCGTCAGGCCTGGGCAAGGGGCCGATCAGGCGATCGGAGGGTGATGGGGGTCAACGCCTGAGGGCTCCCTGTATGTGAGAGGGGGCAGGCTGGGCTGAGGGACACTCTCCCCCCCACCCCCACACCCAGTGCACGAATTTCGTGCACCGGGCCCCTAGTATCTGATAAGGGCCTAATCTCCAAAAGTTATAGGGAACTCATAGAACTTAACAAAAGGAAGATAAACAATCCAATAAAAAAATGGGCAAAGGACCTAAATAGACACCTTTCAAAAGAGGACATTCAGAAAGCCAAGAGACATATGAAAACATGCTCAAAGTCACTAATCATCCGAGAGATACAAATCAAAACAACAATGAGGTACCATCTCACACCTGTCAGAACGGCTATCATCAACAAATCAACAAATGACAAGTGCTAGAGAGGATGCGGAGAAAAAGGAACCCTTCTTCAGTGCTGGTGGGAATGCAGACTGGTGCAGCCATTGAAAACAGTATGGTGTTTTCTCAAAAAATGAAAAATGGAACTGCCTTTTGACCCAGTAATACCACTTCTAGGAATATATCCCAAGAAAACAAAAACACCAATCAGAAAGGATATATGCACCCCTATGTTCATAGCAGCACAATTTACAATAGCTAAGATTTGGAAACAGCTTGAGTGCCCAACATCAGATGAGTGCATTAAAAAACAGTGGTACATCTACACAATGGAATACTACGCTGCTGTAAAAAAGAAGGAATTCTTACTATTTGCAAGAGCATGGATGGATCTGGAGAGCATTATGCTAAGTGAAATAAGTCAGTCAGTGAAAGATAAATACCACATGATCTCACTCATTTATGGATAATAAAGAACATTACAAACTGTTGAACAAAAATAGACAGAGGCAAAGAAGCATCCAATAGACTGTCAAACTACAGCAGGAATATAGGGGAGGGTTGGGGGCGGCGCTGGTAAGAGATCAACCCAAGGATTTGTATGCATGCATATAAGCACAACTAACAGACTCAAAACACTGGGGGTGAGGGGATGAGGGCAAGTGCTGGGGGGTAGGGGAGGCCGGGAGAGGTCAGTGGGGAAAAAAGAGAGAGAGAGAGAGAGAGAGAGAGAGAGAGAGAGAGAGAGAGAGAGAGAGAGACTACTATTTGTAATACCTTAAATAATAAAATTTTAAAACAAAAACAAAAAGAAATATTCCCATGTTTGCGGAGCAAAATGGGCTTTCAGCTTCATGAAGCCCAATGGACCCAATGGGTAGAATCTGAAAAGGACTACACAGATACACTTTATAATTAAAGTGCCAAAAATCAAAGCCAAAGAGAATTTTAAAAGCAGCAAGAAAGTCCCCATAAGATTATCAGTGACATCTGAATGGAAGCTGCTCCTGCTGAGGCTTCTGAAGCCCCTCTCTTTGCTATGCCCTTTGTTGCATGTCCCTCCTCTGTCACTGCCTCTCCTGACTTCCAGGGTTCCAGGCTCTATAGCTCCAGCTACTTCCCTGTTTTTGGTGTCTATATACAAACAAGAGGATTCCTGTGGGCTGCTCTTCCCCTGGCCTCCAGGTCCTGACTAACTGTTTTTGTCCTCCATTCCTGCTGCCACATGTCATGATGGCTGAAAATCACTGTGGGGCTGCAGGAGGAGGGAGACAGTGTCTGGAAACACTCAGAAAATTACTTTCACTTCTCTTTTCCCCATTTGGGTGGAGCCCTCCCAGGGTGAGTTCACTCACTTCTTGCTTAGGGCTTTGCAGCCACAGCGGGCCTTGGCTGGGGAGATTGGAAGGATCAGAGGTCCAGGCAGGACCCAGGGCAGGACGATGGCCAGTGGCGGCAGCGACCTCAGCACCAGGTCAGTCTCTGTCTCCCTTCCTTCAATTTTCTCTCTGGCTGTGCTGATGCTTTAGTGTGTATCATTAGACACTCGTCTAAACCTTGACCTCAGTCCTGCTCTACAAGGACACTTATGTGGAATGTAATGAAATATAGGAATACAAGTGGGAAAATTGGATCTTTAAACTGCAGAGGGACAGCTGCTGGTGTGAGTGTAGCTTTCACAACCCAGAGGACTCATCTTACAGCTACTGCTCAACTGGCAGCCCATGAGGACTCAGCTGTCCTTTCTGATGCTTTGAGGCAGCGATTTATTTTCTCATGACCTATGAACCTTATGGTTTCCCTCGGGGCTCCTCTGACTTCACCTTGGTCATTTCAATGAGGAAACTTCAGAAAATACAAAATTCGGGGTGGCCCTGGCAGGTGTGGCTCAGTGAATAGAGCGTCAGCCTGCAGAATGAAGGGTCCTGGGTTTGATTCCGGTCAAGGGCATATATCTCTGTTGGGTTGCAGGTTTCTCCCAGCCTGGGCTCTGGTCAGGACATGTGAAGGAGGCAATCAATTGATGTGTTTCTCTAAAATTGATGTTTCTCTCTGTCTTTCCCTCTCTCTTACACCCTCACTAAAAATCAATGGAAAAATATCCTTGGGTAAGGATATATAACAAAAACAAAATTCAGAGTTAAAGCATGAAATTTTCAAATCTGGGTGCTTTGGTCTTGTACCTGACCTGGGGACAGGTCAGCTCTAGGCCTATTCCCATCTGTGGCTGAGGGTCTGGGATCTTCCTCCAGGGATCTTGATTGAAGGGAGTAAAAGGAAGAGGAAGGACCAAGAAATGAAAACTAGTGCAGGTTGAGTATTTTCATCTGTGCTTTGAGTTTCTGCTCTGTAATGCATTATACCTCTGACAAGGAAAAGTCCAGAAATACTTTTTCTCTAATAATGGGTCAGAAATAACATTACTTAATATGTTTAATTTTTTAATACAAAAGAATTACATTTTACCTCTTGTCCATAAAGTTTCAAATGATATGCAAGTGTGTAGAGGAGAAAGTCCCCTTGACTTGCCACCCACCTGAAGCTGTCAGTCCTGGCCCTGTTGAGTGTTGTGGGCGCATACCATTTTCTCTGCATTTACACATATAATTGATTTTCCTAAATAATTTGTGTCTTGTTTTTAAACAAATGGGATTTTATTGCATTTTGTATTTTCAGTTATTTTAGTATTGAAAATATTAGAGATCTTTTCACTTTAATAAACATTCTGATCTCCCTCATTCTTTTTTAAATATATTTTTATTGATATCATAGAGGAAGGGAGAGGGAGAGAGAGATAGAAACATCAATGATGACAGAAAATCAATGATCGGCTGCCTCATGCATGACCCACACTGGGGATTGAAACTACAACCCGGGCATCTGCCGGGACTGGCAATTGAACCATGACCTCCTGGTTCATAGGTCAACACTCAACCACTGAGCTATGCTGGCCAGGCTCCCTCATTCTTTTTTATAGCTGTATACTACTCCATGGGATCAATAATCCATAATTTTTAAGCCATTCTCTTCCATTGACAGACACTTAGGTAATTTCAATAAGCTATGATAACAACAAACTTATGTATATCTTTTATGCAGATATGCATAAGTTTGTCTGGTGTCAATAACCAAAAATCAAATTGTTGAGGCAAAGAGTATAAATACTTACTTGTTTATTGATTCTGCTAAGTTGCCTTCTAAGTAACAGAGATTCATTTAGTTAATTTGCATTTTCTGATTACATGGGAGGAGGAACTGTGTTTTGTGGTTATTGACCATTTAAATTGCCTCTGAGGTGAGTTGCTGCATTTTTTCTTGCCAATGTTATCAGTTGAGATTGTCCTTTATTTGATAAGGAAGAATTTGCTAAATATTCTGAAAGTTGCAAGTTTACTCTCCTTTTCTTTTACTTTGTTTTTGGTGACTTCTATTTTATTAAAGATTAAAATTTAAATTACAGAATTACTAGAGGCCCGGTGCACAGATTCATGCACTGGTGGGGTCCCTAGGCCTGCCTGTGAGATTGCCCTGAAACCGGTAGTCTGACATCCCCCAAGGAGTCCTGGATTGCGAGAGGGTACAGGCCATTGAAGATACCGGGGCCCGATACTTTTGTTCTAAGTTATAAATTACTTATTCACGGTCTTTTAAAATGGATAGAAGCCTATTCAAATTATCTATTTCTCCTTGTGTGAATTTGGGTTCTTTGTGTATTTCAAAGATTTGGCCTATATTAATTGTTATCAAGTTGGTGGACATAGATTTGTTCATAGATTGCAATATCCTTTTAATATCATGGGATTAGTTGTGATGATTCTACTTTCACTTCTAATATTGGTAATTTGTGCCTTTTCTCTTTTATTTATTAGCCTGTGTAAAATATATCAATTTTATTTATCTTTTTCAAGAACCAGTTTTTGTTTTGTGTATTTTTCTCTGTTGTTTTTCTCGTCCCATTTCACTTATTTCTTCTTTTTTTCTTATGTAGTGTGCTGTTTGCTTTTTTAAAAATAACAAAAACAAATTCAGAAAGCAATCAAAATGTGTTCATTCTTACACAAATGATTCTGGCTGGTGCATACTTTTTATGCTAATTTATCAACTCAAGTTTTTCTTCTCTATCTGTGGTTAAATATACATCCCTAAGCAAGTAGGAATGTTAAAATAAGGATTACATCTTGGTGTTTATTTGAAATCAGGATTTTTCCATTCTGAATAGTTTCAGTAAGTGTATGTTATGATAGAATGTCTCTTTATCTACTTTAACTTGGTCTATGTTAAATTGATAAAATACAACCTTAGCCCTGCTTAAGAGTACATCTTTCATTATACAAGTTAGTAAATAGGATATATCAACAAAAATGTCCAACAATGTAATTAAATCATTGCTACTTGAAATACTTTATACATGAATAATTTAACTCTTTATACTGTTGAAGCCTTGCATTTCAGTATATTCTACAACTTCTGTATCATCACCTGAAATTTACAGGCAGGCATTGAAGATACCCTAGCTGTTACAATAATGTTTATCCCCAAGTTTGATAAGCTACCTCTGAGTAAGCCACATGTAAATGCTAAATATTTAGATGCAAGTTCTAAGTACTGTTTTCCTGTAGACATCTGAGTAAGCAGATGGAATTTATTGTTCTGAAGTACATAGATGCCCTGATGATTTGTCCTGAGACTGATGATTTGTTTCTTAAATACTGTAGTCCAAGAAATTTTTCCAAATGAAGTTCATGACCTCTAACTCATACTTGAACCTCACGGTATCATTTGTAAACCTTTGTTCCTTGTCCCACTCGAAACCCCATGTTTTCCAGCTTAGTAATACAGCGTGCATTTTCCACCTTCCCCTGCTCTGCAGACTAGTATACTCCTGACACCATCTCTTTATGGAGAAGCAAAACAGCGCCTCCACCAAATCTCTTTTTTAAATTTCTTTATTGGTTAAGGTATTACATAGTTGTCCTTAAATCTTGCTTATTTTTTTTTATTATTATTAAATTGGTTGGAGTGACAATGGTTAACAATAACATACAGATTTCATGTGTGGATTTCTGTTACAAAATCCACCACCAAAAGTCAAATCTTCTCCTGTCACCTCATGTTAGGACCCCTTTCTCTCCCTACCCCCTTGCCTCTGGCAATCACCACATTGCAGTTTGTGTTCATAAGTTTCAGTTTTATAACCCACATATGAGTGAAATCAGGTGGTTTTTAGCTTTTTTTCTGACTTATTTCATTTGGCATAATGTTCTCAAGGTCCATCCATGTTGTCTCAAATGGCACTATTTCATTCTTTCTTATGGCTGAGTAGTATTCCATTGTGTATATGTACCATATCTTCTTTATCCAGTCCTCTGTCATAGGACATTTTGGTTGTTTCCATGTCTTAGCCACTGCGAATAATGCTGCAATGCACATAGGGGTGCATATATCTTTGCAAATAAATGATTTTGAGTTTTTTTGGGGTATATACCCAGGAGTGGGGTTGCTAGGTCATATGGTAGCTCTGTTCTTACATTTTTGGGGAATCACCAGACTTTCCATAGCAGTTGTAGCAGTCTACATTCCCACCTGCAGTGAATGAGGGTTCCCTTTTTTCCACAACCTCTCCAATACTTGTTATTGCTTCTCTTATTGGTAATGGCCATTCTAACATGTGTAAGGTGATATCTCATTGTAGTTTTGATTTGCATTTCCCTAATTGCCAGTAAGGTTGAACATCTTTTCATGTATCTATTGACTCTTTGTATGTCTTCTCAGGAGTAGTGTATTTTCAAGTCCTCCACCCACTTTTTAATTGGATTGTTTGTTTGGTGTTGAGTTTTATGAGTTCTTTATATATTTTGGAAATTAAAGCTTTGTCAGAGTTACTGTTTGCAAATATCATCTTCCATATGGTTGGCTGCCTGTTTGTTTTGTTGTCCATTTCTTTTGCTGTGCAGAAACTCTGTTATAGTTCCGTTTATTTATTTTTGCCTTTACCTCCCTGGCCTTTGGGGTCAAGTCCATAAAATGTTCTCTACAACCCAGATCCATAAGTTTGGTACCTATATTTTCTTCTATGTACAAGTAATTTATAGTTTTGGGTATTATGTTTAGGTCTTTGATCCATTTTGAATTAATTTTTGTACTGAGGACAAACTATAAACAGTTTCATTTGTTTGTATGTGGCTTTCCAGTTTTCCAGCACCACTTATTGAAGAGACTATCTTTACTCCAATGTGCATTTCTGGCTCCTTTGTCAAAAATTATCTGTCCATATATGTGTGGTTTTATAGCTGGGCTCTCTGTTCCATTGATCTGTGTGTCTGTTTCTATGCCAATACCATGCTGTTTTGATTATCATAGCTCTGTTGCATAATTTAAGTCAGGTAGCATGATTAAGCTCTGGTTTTTGTCTCCCTTTTGGCTCTGGCTCCCAGGTTCCAGCTAGTGCCTGAGCTATTTGGGCTGAGCCTCTGCTCCCTCAGTCCGCAGCCCATCCCTCATTGCTAGGAAACCACCAAGGAATTCACTCGGTTTCCTGAAGACTGATACTGGAGTGAGCCCCATACAAGGGCAAGCCCAGTCCATGGCCACCAAGCCCTCAGGCCCAATGAGAGAGTATTTAACTTATTTATTTCTAATTAATTTTTATTTTCTTTCCTTTCTTCTATTTTAGTTTTAAATTGCTCTTTTTTGCAATCTTCTATTTCTAATTTTCTAAAGAATATATTTCTCATTAATCACTGCTTCTTCTGCATCACCAAATTTTTATAAAATGTATGTTCATTTTCATTTAGTTCAATTTAAAAATTCTCTTGAGATTTTTCTTTTGCTCATGCTACTTAGAAGTATATTTTTCAATCTCTAAGTATTTAAGAAGTTTCAGTTATAGATCTGTTATTCATTTCTAGTTTAATTCCCTGGTTGTCTGAGGACATACTCTTCATGATTTCTATTCTTTTACATGTGTTAAGGTGTATTTTATGACCCAGAAATTGTTCTTATATGGTGAAGGTGAGTTTCCCTGTCATCTTAAGTCTGTGTACTCAGCATTGTTGGATGAAGTACTCTATAAATGTCAAATAGATCAGGTTGGTTGACAGTGATGTTCACATCAACTCTATTTTTATTGATTCTTGCCTGCTGGAAGTATAAATTACTGAAAGAGGGTGTTGAAATATCAAACTTTAACAGTGCATTTGTTTGTTTTTACTTGTAATTCTATCAGTTTTTACTGTATATAATTTGATGTCAAGTGTTCAGGTAAATGCATGTTAAGGATTAAGTCTTCTTGGAAAACAGAACCCTGGCTTCATATGAAACCCCCTCTTTCTCCTTCATAATTTTTCTGTTCTGAACCATCTTTGTTTGGAAATAATATGGCTACTGCATCAATCTCTTGATTAGTGTTATCATGATATCTCTCCATTATTAATATGAGGCTTTCTATTTAAAGGTTTATTATGTTGACAAGATATAATTTTTAAATATTTTCCGTCACTTTGATAATCACTGGGTTTTAATTGGAATATTAAGACCATTCATATTGAATATAAGTATTAATATGTTGAATTAATATCTATCATGTTTGCAACTGTTCTCTATTCATTGTATTTGTTCTTTGATTTTTCCCTCACCCCTCTTTTTCTGCCATCTCTGGTTTTAATTTAAAGTACTGCATGATTTCATCTTATCTCTTCTATTAACATATCATGTTTTCTTCTTTTTAAATGTATTTAGTGTTTGCATGGATATTGCAATGCACATTTTAACCCACTTCCCTGCAGCGTAGGTACCTTCTCGCAAAGTATTCCCAATTCCTTCCTCCCTTCCTGCATCTTGCTGACCATTTTCTCATGGTGTCCTTTCTCCCTAGGATGTCTGTAGAAAACAAGCATATCTATGACATTGCTCTCTGCCACTTCAAAACACAGAAAGTCAAAATTTCAAATATAATAAAAGTATCATTTCCTTTCCTTGAACTTCTCCGTGACTATGGATTCATCAGCAATGAAATATATGAAGTAAGTAAGGTTTATTATGTCACAATCTGGTAAACCAGTGCCAAACTAAGTTATATTTTGATATCCTGGAATCAAACATCAGAGCATAACTAGATAACTGAGTGGGGACCCTCTCAAGTACTGCTGTAAGTGTTCTTATATGGTCAGGAGGGAGAAGAGAAGCAGGCATTAGTGAAGACAGTTCTGCTCCTAACAGAAGGAACAGTGCTCTGTGGTGTCCCCTATAGTGGGGCGAATAGCACTAGAGATAGGCTGGGTGTGAAGTGGGTGAGCTACATAGATTTATAATGCCTTGTAGGAATTATATACACAATATAGCATAAACTAGTATTAAATGTAATTGTAATGAATGGATAAGTTGAATGATTTCATTTAATATAATAATAATAATAATTGTTCAATGAACACCAATTTAAATACTTAGATCTGAAAACATTAAAATCCACAGAGAATTAATGTCTTCTTAGGAAATTTTTGAAAATAGATGCTTACTATTCTTTCAACAACAGTTTTCATTTCACAGGTACTTCTAGGCCAAGTCAGTCCTGGGGAAGGGATAAGGGGTGTCCAGTCAACAGAACAGCAACTCATCACCTGCTAAAACATTTGGCCAGGCTCTAAAAGGGCTACACATCACTTAGCTTTAACCTAAGTTGTTCTTCATAATTGCTCCTTACTCCTTCTAATAGATATTAGAACAAAGAAATTAGATATGAATGGGAATTTTCAAGGAGGATGAATTTAGTTATTTAACTAGTAGCCATACAAATATAGAGAAATTCTAAAACTGTACATGAGACCATAACTATGTTGGGAAGTTGTAATACATTAACACTAAAATCACTTTCTAGGGCTCTTCTGTAACTTGGAAATCTGTATTTATATTTTCCCAATTCATTATTTTTAAGAAGTCTAAGGAATCTTTTAAAACACCGGGTTCGGAACAGAAAACCATAATTGATGTTCTCAATGAAGTGGAGAAGACATTTAACCTGTCCCTTCTGGAAGCATTGTTCAGCGAGGACATCATGGACACCTACCCTGGTTTAAATGATATTTATAAAACCTTCAAAAAAGGTAATTAGGGCCCTGGCCAGTTTTGCTCAGTAGAGAGTTGACCTATGGACTGAAGTATCAAAGGTTCAATTCCTGGTCAAGGGCCCATACATGAATTGCAGATTCAATCCTAGGTCCCAGTCAACAGGCATGGGGGAAGAAACCAGTGATGTCTCTCCTCCTCCTCCCCCTCATTCTCCTCCTCTTCCTCCTCCTTCTCCTCCTCCCTCCTTCCCACTTTCTCTCTAAAGAAGGTAATTAGGTTTATTACTATTTTTTGATGTCCAGGACCAATTTTTCCCCAGAGGCATATATTGGATGTCTACCATGTGCCACAGAAAGTGCTAGGCAGTGGGGAGGTAGCAGTAAAGAAAACAGACATATTGTAGCCACTCAAAGCTTATGATAAAATGACTACAGTACAAGCACTCACATGTAGGTCTGCTTAACTAGGTATCTTGACTCAGGACAACCAGAGCCACAGTGGATTCAGATTTACTTAGACGGACAAATGACAGGAAATACAACATCTCAAAAGTGCGGCATCAGTTGTTCTTCTTCTTTGTGACACTTAGCAGGGGTCCTCATAGCAGTTCACCAAGTTGACTACAACCTACCTGAAGTGACAGCATAGCTATAGGTGCATGATCTGCCCTGATTTAGCCACACCATGCACAGGGGAGTCATTATGTCATGTACAACTTTGTAATTATAACTTTCAGAGACCCCACTAAGATACAAGAGTCATCAGGTTGAAGGAAGACAAAAAATAGCTTATAATTCACATCTAGTCCCTCCCAGGCCACATGCAATTTACCTACCTTCAGTCACTGGTCATTTGTAACTCTAAGCTCAAAGTTGGCCTACTAATTCAGAAGAAAGTCCACCTTTATCAGATTTCCAGAGTAATGAACAAGAAAATTAACTCAAGGTCAAATTTGTTCTTGAAGAAAGAGAAATGGTTTTATTAACTCATTCTCCAAAACACATGTGATCAATAATCAATCACAAAACCAATTGCTCTGCCAGAAATGTTTTGATACTATACAAAACTATTAGTTTAATTCTCTACTTTTTCCCTGAGAAGGAATAATTTTCTACTTTTTCATTGGTTCTCAGAAAAGATGATGTCCTCCAATAATTTTTGTTTGACTTGCCTAGAAAACTTTTTATTCTACATGCTTTTGGTCTCAAAAAGATCTCCAGGTAATGATGGAGAATTCAAAAGAAAAATTACTATAATAACTGAGGAATGCAGATGATATGGGAGCAAGCTTACAGCATTAAGGGGTCCATGTGTCTGCAGAACAAGGACAAATTAGATTAATTTCAGAGTGAGAAGCAGACTTTCAAGTTGATTCAAAAGGGATAAGAATAAAAAGAGTTTGGAAAGTCTGGCTTCCAAAACTAAGTAATTTGATGTTATTTGTTACACAGTAGGCAGACAGTACAGGTTTATTGCATGAGGAGGTATCCTGCCATCAGCCCTTAGGCGTATGGGCTTACTGCTCCCCTCAGTTTCCTCCCTAGACTCTGTAGGATATACACCAAGAATTTTTGCTGTATTACCTTCCTCCATATGTTTGCTGGGTTACCAACATAAAGAGTCTCTGGGCTGGTGCTGTGTTCTTCCCTCTTTGGCAATTCTCCAAATGTAACAGGCATCTTGGTACGTTCTTCAGGGTCACAATATTCACTCCCTGCTTGCAGCTTTAAGGAATATTCCTCTTTGACCTGGAATCTGGGTGCCCCAGGGACCTCTGTCTAGTTGTTCCCATGTCCTCTAATTTGTCTCTTTGGGAAGCACTCATCCTCCCTTACTCAGTTAAGCCAAAACCTTCTCTTGTCCAGCATCATTTTTAAAGCTTTTTTATACACATAAAGCTCTATAGCAGTGATGGCGAACCTTTTGAGCTCGGCGTGTCAGCATTTCGAAAAACCCTAACTTAACTCTGGTGCTGTGTCACATATAGAAATGTTTTGATATTTGCAACCATAGTAAAACAAAGACTTATATTTTTGATATTTATTTTATATATTTAAATGCCATTTAACAAAGAAAAATCAACCAAAAAATGAGTTCGCGTGTCACCTCTGACACGCGTGTCATAGGTTCGCCATCACTGCTCTATAGGATCTTTGTTTTTCTCCCAAGGAAATCCCTCTGGTTTTCCTTACAGTTTGAACAGTTCAGCAAATGCATTTCAAAATAAATAGCATATTATTTATTTTGATATATTTGTTCCTGATCAGCTGAATATTTTTTACATAAATAACAAGCTCACTATGTTGCCAAAACTTCCTTTTCCTAACATTTCAATGGCAACTTTCTGTGTGGGAAGCATAAGGGCCCCTTTGTTGGGTATTCTCTTTTCTGTCCCAGGGATGAAGAGTCAACTTTACCAATAGGATTGGGACACACTGAGTACTGAGTGACACAAGCGGTGGAAATTCCTAAATGTGTAATTTGAGATGACAACACTACTCCAAAGTGATCTCTAATTGTCTTCTTCTTATGCCCTCTCTTCAGTGATACCAAACATAGAACAGTTCCTAAAAAGTGATGGAGAAGAAAATGAGGAGAGGCCTGATATCCAACAGAGCCTTGAACAAGGTAATTGCAAACAGATAGAAACTGATTCTCCTCTGTTAAGAGGAAAGGAGAATGGGAAATGGGCCTGAGTCCTGAGTGGAGTTTGGGAATCAGGGAAGACCTGTTGAGGAGCATGGAGAAGTTCAGGAAGGACTTTTTCTATTAGCATAGAGTCTGATCCTGGGGGATGAGCTATGACAAGAGATCATAGGCCCAATAATCAAGACAGAGGAACAGGAAACCAGTGTATCAGGAAACCAGATTTAAAGACAATATTGACCTGAAAGTAACTCTTATTTACAGAGAGGCCTATAGGAGAAGATCAGTGTGGAGCTGTGAAGGGCTAAGAACTATGGGCCCAAGGTTAACCTCACTAGAAGTTATCCTGGATGATGACAATGGGGTTGATTTAAATGTGGTAGATGCTGTTCAAGAGCAGGAATATTCAAGGAGATGGGCAGTCATATAGGGAGGGAAGAGAGGAAGTGGTAAGATGTGTAGGAGGAGATGTGGGTATTTTGAGAGAGGAAGAAAGAGAGAAAATGAAGGACAGGAGAAAGGGGTAAAGTACACAACGATGACAACCATATTACTAAGAGCTCACTTATAAACCACTTACTCTGGCAGTTGAGGGCTTAATATTCACAGCTGCCCTTAGGGAGGAAGTATCATTTTCTGTCCATTTACAAAAAGGAGACTGAAATCTTGAGGGACCATGTATGCAGTTCGCCTGGAGTCAAATGAGGATGAACTCAGGCTTTCTGAACCCAAAGCCTGTGTTCTTAACCCTACACACACCCAGATAATCTCATAGAAAAGACAGAAAATTGAATCAAAAGTAGTGAAATATGTGCAGAGAGAAAGATACAAAAAAAAGAATACCAGGAGCTGGAGAAAGTACAGGAGAATCAGATACTGAACCTCATAAAAAGGCCAAGAAAACAGAGAAACAGACATTCAGAGAGAGGATGTGGTGTGAAGGGGTTTGGGATAAGGAGACATGACTTTGTAGGAGGTAAGGGAAGCCCGTCCAGATGGGCTCTGTGTTGATACCTGGGGGGAGGGGATCTTCAAGTCCTACTTTATAATAATTAATTGGTGATTAAGGGAGAATGTCACAGCCCATACTTTAATTTCTGAAATAAACTTCTAATTTTTTTCCAAGAACTGGTGACAGCTCATATCAAAGTCTGGCAGTGGCAGAACCCAGTGAATCAAATAACAGTGATCTGTTCCTGTTGAGTGTTCTGTGATCCCTTGCTATTCTTGTCCCATATGGCAGGTGCTGTGGTGGGAGTGCTGCTTCATTTTAGTACTAATTGCCCAGAACAGTCAGTCGTTGCTTCCTCAATTTCTCCAAAGATTTAGATAAGAGCCTTCATTTTTCTGGTTGCCTGGGAGAGACTCTACTTCCATACTCCTTAAGTGCACTTGCTGCCAGCTCCTACCAGCCTGGGCCTGGACCTATTGCCCATGTACCTGGCTTCAATTTTCTGTCTCTGTCTTGCTTGAATCTGGCTGCAATATTGCTTTGACATCACATCCAATGCTGGCCAGAACTGCAGCAAAGGTAGTGAGGTAAGGGTCATGAGTGTGTTCCCCCTGGGCCAGGGTCTCTCACCTGTTGGGTCCCTCACACAGGGCCATCAACAAACCTCTCCCATCTTCTCTGGGGCACAGGCCTGCAGCTGCTCTAAAAACACCATGGAAGGCGTTATTGTGTAGCTTTCACTGGCATGTGTTATTTAATAAAAGATGTTCTAGCCCTAGCCAGTTTGGCTCAGTGGATAAAGTGTCAGCCTGCAGACCAAAGGGTCCAGGATTTGATTCCGGTCAAAAGCACATACTTGGATGCAGGCTCCTCCCTGGCCTGGGCCCTGGTCAGGGCTCGCGAAGGAGGCAACCAATTGATCTCTTCCTCTCACATCAGTATTTCTCTCTATCTTATCCTCTCTCTCCCACTCTCCCTAAAAATCAATGGAAAAATATCCTTGGGTGAGGATTAACAAAAACAGAAAGAAAAAAAGAAATGATGTTCTAAATGAGTAATATATTTTTATAAAAGAAAAAAAATCTTTCACAATGATTTTGAAAGCACCTTTATATGTTTAGCAAATCACATTTAGTAAAAAAAAATTTAACATTTAAGAATATGAAACATATAACAAGCATCAGTCCCTATTCTTAGCCATTCATCTATAAGTGCAGCTGGTGTAATCAGGAATGTTGAGAGGAAGGAATCATGATGAACAATTTACAGAGATGGGATTCAGAGTGTGTGTGTGTGTGTGAAGGGCATAGTGTGTGGGGAGAGGGGGTAATGACATTATAACCCAAATTATGCAATAAACTAACAATAAATGTATCTAAGAGTCTGACCCAGCAGGGATGGTTGACTGTGACATGAACCAGTGAGGGAAGGGCTATGTCACATTCACCATCCAAGAGGAGACTCCAAGGAACAATGGATGTGGCACAAAATATGCAGCCTTGATTCTATATTAAAATTTTTGGAATTAATTTTTAAGTCCTCTTTACATAAGTTACTTTGCATAGAAAAATAGCAATAAATGAAAAAATCTGAACTGCACTGAAAAAGTATTTATTCACACACTATTGAGGTTGGTGGAAACAGAGCGGATGGGTCGATGGAATCAATAATGAGCAGAGGAGGTTCACCATAGGGAAGGGGGGTGCACTGGTCCTGGGTGGTTTACTCAAGGACTCATTTCCTATCATTCCTGTTCTGCTCTGCCCTCTATCCCTGGCCACAGATCCCTGAAGCATTGCTTGCCAGCTCCCTTGCTACTGCTTCCTGGTAGATTCCTAACCTGGGAAACACAAGCAAAGAGTGGAGAGTGGGAGCAAGGGAGAAGCATGGTATTTCCCCATCAGCAGAACTTTAAAAATGACGGGAATGCTTAAGATGGAGAAAAGATAAAGAAAAAATTGATTAGAAAAGACATTCACGGGTCATAGAAATTGTAAAGAAACAGAATAGAATAGGACAAAGTAGGAAGCATAACAGATAATCAATAAACTGGAAAATCAGATGGGGTACTAAGGGCCACGACCAGAGGGAGATAGGGAGACCCTGGGACCCATGTAAAGAGGAGCTCACTCCCTGCCCTACACACCTACAGTGCTTCACCCTAGACCTTGCTGGGCCTGGGTAGGCAATGATAAAATAATGTAGAAAATAAAGTATAAAGAGAGAAAAATACAGAGGGAAATGGATATCATAAATAGAAAATATGGGGGAGACACAAAGAGAACTATGTCAAGAATGAGTAAGAGACAATGAATGAGGAACTGGTAGAGAGTAGAGTAGGTAGAGAGGACCAGGCATTGTCTGGTTTGAGGAGACACCACAAAGAAGGCAAAAGGGGTGATCCTAACCCCATTGAGGAGGTAAGATGTCCACAAAATAAAAATGACCCTGAAATTCACTCAGATAAAAATGGGCCTCTCCTATGAGAAGTAGAAACAAAAACAAAAACCCATAGTTAAGAGAGACCCCCCAAAAGACAGAGTTGAGCAGCAGGAAAGGACAGGGGTGGAAGAGCTTTCCTCTGCAGTGGACTTACAGAGAAAAGAGCTTGTTGGTTGTAGTGAGGATGCTCATTCTATTATGAGAGACAAGTGGATTCTTCATTTATTACAAAATTGGAGCTACCCCACCATGGAAACCAAATTCATTTCTGCTCTGAACACCTGATGTATATAAAGAATGAAAAAACATTTTTTAATTCATGAGTTGAATGGGAAGCCCAAGAAAGAAGTGACTGTGACCAGACTTCTGACAGTATAGGTAAGACTGACTGAAAGAATGTGTGAAGTGAATCCTGGTTCCAGGCAAGGGTCTGGGACGAGTTATCAGGACCAAGGGATACAGTTCTGGTGGCCTTGTTTAGAGGTAAAAAGGGGAGGTAACCAGTGCCTTAAGTAGTGTACTCAGGATGGGGTACTAAGGGCCACGACCAGAGAAAAATGTCCCCAGTAGTTGAAAAAATAAACAAAAGCAAAAATGGTTGGTTTAATGTCAGAGAGACTATTTCTATGCAAGAGAAGAAAGTGACCGTTGTAGAAGAAAAGAAAGAAAAATAAAGAGTCAAGATATTCATTAGAAGAGAGAAAAATCATGCAGAACAGGAGAGATATAAAGACATATCACCACCAGACATAACTAGTGAAAATTATTTCACCCAATAGAAAAGTGAAGAAGTAAAATGAGAATGAAAGTAGAGGTAGAATGAAGGTGGGGATCAGAAATAGACTGAGGATGGAGAGAGGGAATAGAGTGAGGGTGCGGGGAAAAAGTGTGCTGCAGGATAGACAAAGCTGCCCTCTGCAAATGAACTTCTCCACCTTCTGGGTAGGATCGAGGAACCTGCAGGTCACCCACATTTGGGCACAGACCAGGGGGACCTGAGTTAACTTAGCTTCTAGGTCTCCCTAGTGCTATCATGAAGGGGTTTCCTGTCAGTGGGCTCCCTGGCCCTACCCTGAGACACTAAAGTGTTTTTCTTCTCTGTGCAGAGGTCGACAGTGAGGACTCCAGAGAATCCAGTGATGGAGATGAGCCCCCCGAAGCTTTATAGACGAAAGGGGCCACATGCTAACCTGAAAAGCTCAGGGAAGGCCTGCATGGCAGTCTTGCAAACTCAGAGACCTAAAGGAACCACAAAGGATGGTCTGAATTAAACTTTAACTAAAAGCAGTTATGGTGGGTAGTTATATCCTAGGCCGGTATCTTCACTGACAAGGTCTGTGAGCCTTAACTGAGCCTATCTGTCTTTTTGCATCTATAATAACCTAGCCTTTGAAATGTCTAGGTAACTTGTAACTTTCCGTGGGGCACAACCTAATGTGCTGGGCACCAGGACAGATACCACAAATTCCTTCATTATCATGTTAATTGTTCCTGCCTAAGTATGTGTCCATCATTTTACTTTTTATCCAATCCCAGGGGTTTTCCCAGCTTTGCTTTCTCCCACCTCTCTAGTCTATCACCAATGGAT